CACCACATGGAAAGGGGAAGAAAGGGAAGAAAGGGAGAAGGGAGAATTAGAAGGAAGGTAGAAAAGAATGGAATTAGGCAGAAGCAAAACAATCTCTTAAAGAGGGACAAGAAAAGAGCCAGCCAGGCTATCATCTGCTGCTTCTCTTTGTGAATATTTTTATGTTAACATTAGTTCTGAACTTCATTTTTCCAATCCACCTACTCTGAAGATTCTAGCATTCATCGTCTTGTGGACAGTTTTTGTATTGCAACTGTCATTGTTATGTTTGAAAAGGAAGCTTGCACAATTCATTTTTGTAAGAATAAATAACCAAATAAAATAAATAAGTAAGTGGATAGATGGATAAATTAAAAAAAAGAGTGACAGGAAAGACGAGAAGAAAAAGTAGATGAAGAGAAATGCAGTTAGCAATCATAACTGTAAATGTGAATGGGATGAACTCACATATAAAACAAAAGAGGATTAGAAACCATTATCCAGCAATACATTGCTTACAAGAAACACATTTGAAATAGAAAGATACACACAGAATTAAAATAAGAGGCTGGAGCACAATCTATTATGTTTCAGCTGAATTTTTCAAAGGCAAGGATAGAAATCATGATCTCAGACAAAACAAAAGGAAAAAGAGACCTAATTAAAAGCAACAAACTGGGAAACCATATTTTGCTAAAGGATAACATAGACAATGAATTAACATCAATACTAAACATATATGCACCAATAGTATGGCCTTTAAATTCTTAAAGGGAAAGTTAAATGGATTATAAAAGGAAAGAGAGAGCAAAACTATAATAGTGGAGGACCTCAATTTATCCCCTCTTAGGCCAAGATAAGTCTAACAAATAATAAGCAAGAAAAGAAATAGAATAGAATTTTAAAGTAGTTAGATATGATAGTCCTTTGGAGAATATTGAATAGGAATCAAAAGGTGTATACCTATTTCTCAGTTATGTATGGCATCTTCACAAAAATTGACCATGTATTAAGGCATAACAACTTCCAAACAAATGGAGAAGAGAAGAAATATTAAAAGTATCTCTTATTGACTAAAATGCTATAAAATTACATTTAATAAAGGGCCTTTGAAACAAAGATTAAATTGTAATTAGAAACAAAGTAACAATCCTAAAGAATTCATGGGTCAAATAACAAATCAGAAATAATAAATAACTTCAAATTTCAATAAATATGAAAACAGACAGCATATCAAAATTCGTGAGATGAAGCCAAAGAGTAGTTAGGGGAAAATTTACATTTCTAAATGCTTTTATCAATAAAAGAAAGAACAAATCAGTGAAATAGGCATTCAACTAAAAAACAAAAGAAAACCTGGAAACTCAACAATTATTAAACACTCCACTTAAGCATCAAAATAGAAATTCCTGAAATCAAAGGTGAGATTAACAAAATTGAAAGCAAAAGAAGGATTGACTTAGTAAATGAAAGGAGTTATTAAAAAAAACCAACACCCCCATGAATAACAAAATAAAACAGATAAGCCATTCACTAAACTTATTTCAAGAAACAAAAGAAGAAAACTAAATTGCCAGTATCAAAAATGAAAAGGCTGAATTCATAACCAATGAAGGAGAGATAAAAGAATTTATTAGGGACTGTTTCACCCAAGTAAGTGCTACTAAAACTGATAACCTAAGTGAAATAGATGAGAATTTACAAAAAAAAATATTAATTGCCCAGATCAACAAAACAAGAAATAGAGAGCTTAAGTAACCCTGGGGGGAAAATTGAACATGCCAAAAATTAACTTTCAAAGACAAAAATTCCAGGACCAAATGGATTTATAAGCGAATTTAAAGACAATTAATTCTACTACTACATTAAGTGTTAAAAAAAATAAGAAAAGATAATTTCCTACCAAATTCCTTCCATAATACAAATATAGTCTTTATTCTAAAACCAGAAAGATTCAAAACAGAAAGAAAACCATCAGCTAATATTCCTAACAAATATCGATGCAAAAAAATTAAATAAAATCTTAGCAAGGAGACTACAACATGTCAGAAAGATTAAACACACTACCACCAGGCTGGATTTATACCAAGATTGCAGGACTGGTTCCATGTCAGGAAATCTATGAACACAACAGGTTATATTAATAATAAAAACAACCAAAATTATATGATTATGTCAATTGATGCAAAAAAAGCTTTTGACAAGATATAATACCCATTCCTGTTAAAACTCTAAAAATTATAGGAATAAGTGGAACTTCCCTTAAATTGATAAACATTATCTACCTAAAACTAAGAGCTAGCATTTTCTGTAATGGAGATAAGCTAGAGACCTTTCCATTTGAGATTAGGGGTAAAGCAATGATGTCTATTACCAGAAATGCTATCTACAGCAATAAGAGAAAAAAACTAAATTGAAGGAATAAGCATAAGCAAAGAGGAACCAAAATTATTGCTTTTTGTAGATGATGTGATGATTTGTTTAGTGAATACCAGAGAATCAACTAAAACACTAATTAAAACAATAAATAACTTCATCAAAGTTTTAGGATATAAAATAAACCCACAAAAATCATAAGCATTTCTGATATTACCAAAGAACCTAGCAAGAAGAGATAGAAAGTGAAATTCCATTTAAAATAACTACAGATAGTGTAAAATATTTTGGAGTCTACCTGCAAAGATACGCACAAGAATTATATGAACAAAACTACAAAACTACAAAAGATAGTTCTAAAGTTTGGGAGAAATATAATTGCTTAAGGTAGGGCTGAAACATGTAGTAAAAAATACTACCTAAATTAATTTGCCTATTCAGTGTCATACCATACCAACCAAACTACTGAAGTATTGCTCTATAGAACTAGAAAAAAATAACAAAATTTATCTGGAGGGACAAAAGTTCAAGAATATTAAGGAAATTAATTTTTTAAAAAGTGGGAAAGAGTGTTGCCTGGCAGTACCAGAACTCAGACTATAATGGAAAAGCATAATCATTAAAACAATTTGGTACTAGGATGAGAAATAGAGCAATTGATCAATGGAACAGATTAAGTACTAATAACATGTAGAAGCAAATGAGCACAGTAGTCTAATGTTTGATGAACCCAAAGGTCCCAGTTTTTGGACAAGGCCTTTTTATTAGACAAAGACATTTGGGAAGACTGAAGAGCAGGTTGGCAAAATTTAGGAATTAATATTTCACACTGCATATCAAGACAAGCTCCAAATGGGTTATATAATTTAGAAATAAAGGATGCCATCACAAACAAATTAGAGGATCATGGAAGAAATTATCTGGCAGATCTATGGATAGAGGAAGGGTTCATGACCAACCAAAAGATAGAGGGGCTCACATGAGATAAAATGGACAACTTTGATCACATAAAATTAAAATGTCTTTGCACAAGCAAAACAATATAGCTAAAATTAGAGGAGAAGTAGGAAATTGTGTGAGTGTGTGTGGGTGGAATCTTTGCAAAAAGTTTCCGTGGTAAAGATTACATTTCTAAGACATAAAAGGAATTGAGCCAAATTTGTAAGAATAAAATCCATTCCTTAATTGTTAAATGGTTAAAGGATATGAATAGGTTGTTTTCAGAGGAAGAAATCCAAGCTCTCAGTAGTCATATGAAAAAATGTTCTAAATCACTAATAATGAGAGAAATGGACATTAAAACTACTCATGAGGTACCACCTTACATGCTTCAGATTGGCAAAGTTGACAAAAAGGAAAATGACAAATGCTGGAGGAGTTTGGGATAATAGATATATTAATGTACTCTTGGTGGGACCATGAAGTAGTCTGGCCATTCTGGAAAGTAATTTGGAACTATGCCCAGAAAGCTATTAAACTGTGCAAACCCTTTGACCCATCAATACCAACTATGTCTATACTAAGTCTAATAGTATATCTATGCATCAAAGAAATCAAAGGAAGAGGGAAAGGACTGATATGTACAAAATATTTGTAACAGCTCTTTTCATGGGGAATTGGAAACTGAAGGTCCATCAATTGGTGAATGGCTGAACAACTTATGGTATAAGTATGTGATAAAGTACTATTGTGCTGTAAGAAATAATAAAGTAGATAGTTTCAGAAAAACCTGAGAAGACTTTTATGAACTGATGCAAAGTGAAATGAACAGAACCAAGAGAACAATTTATACAATAGCAACAATATTATGAAGAAAAAACAGCATTTAAAAACTTGGGAATTTTGCCCAACATAATGGAACCAACTACAATTCCTGAGGGCTTATGATAAAATGGGCTGTCTACCGGTAGATAGAGAGGTGAGTGTAGACTCAGCGTGTAGGCTGAATTTTTTTTTTTTGTTTGGGCATGGCTAATGCAGGAATTTGTTTTGCTGGAGTATAAATATTTGTAACAGGTTTTGTTTTTCTTGCTTTCTCAGTTGGTTAGAGAGTCAGTGATGGTTGGGGTTGGGGGGTGGAATTTGGAGCTGAAATTGAATTTAAAAAATCGAATTAAATTGAATTGAATTAAAAAAATTAAAGTAGAAAGTAAAAGTAAAAAAAGGAATAACATAACTTTTCATTTTTGTACACTATAACCAGACTCTTGTGAGTATTTTTGGTATTATAGTACATCCTATCTAAATGTTAGATTTTTACCTTTCTTCACAGGTTGGAAGTCCTTCTGTTCTGAGTTCATAGGAAGCCCTCCTTGCTCTTTCATCTTCTTGGTTCCTAACAGTAAGACTGTAAGGAACAACATGTTCACAAGTCAAGTTCAGATAAACCTATATTCATACAATTATCTTTAATACTAACTATAAATGAATTTCAAGTATCTAAGCAGAATTCCTCCCCTTCTTCAAAAAAATGACCTAGATTTTTCTTTCTCCATGCAGACTAGATTAAAATGGCTTAGCATTAACAAATGTACAACCTTAATAACATTATAGAATAAATGGAGTAATTATAACTTTACATTCACATCATTGCAGTCATTGTCTATATTGTTTTTTATAGTCAGATAGGTGGAATAAGGGATGGAGCACTGGGCCTGGAATCCAGAAGACCTGAGTTCCAATCCAGCTGTATTTTATCGGGAGCTAGGTAACTCAGTGATATAGTGCTGGGCCTGGAGTCAGGAAGACCCGAGTTCAAATCTGATTTTAGACACTCTTGTGAGGATTAAATGAGATATTTGTAAAGAATGTAGCACAGTTCCTGCCCATAGTAGGTGCTGTTTAAATGTTATCTATTTTTATAAAAATAAAACATTAGTTTTCCTGGTTCTGCTTACTTCACTTTGCATCAGTTCATGTATTGTTCGTCTTCCCATGCTTTTCTGTATTCATCATATTCATCACTTCTAACATATAGGAGTATTCCATTATATTCACAGACCAAATCCTTTAGCTGTTCCTCAGTTGATGGACATATACTTTGTTTCTAGTTCTTAGCTACTACAAAAACTTCTATAAATATTTTGGAAAATTTGAGATCTTTCTTTTCATTGTCTTCTTTGTGGAATATGCTTAGAAGTAAGATTTCAGCATCAAAGGTATGGACAATTTAGTCACTTTCTTAACATAATTCCAAATTGCTTTCCAGAATGGTTGAAAAGTTACCAAAAGTACATTAACATGTCTATCTTTCTACAACCATTCCAATACTGTCATCCTTGCCAATTTGTTATGCATAAGGAGAGACTTCAGAGTTGAGTAATTATAAATTATAGTAGGTCCTTAATTTTTTTCCTTCATAAAAACAAAAGTGCTTAGTATAGTGTCTGGCACATGGTAAGTACTTGATAAATGCTTGTTGACTGACCGACGAAAAAAGTATATTGTCCAGAAAGTGAAAACTAAAGGATTATCAGTTGCACAGTGAATTTTCACCTTATATCCTGAACCCAGAAGCAACAATATATGAATTTCATAAACTTAGCTTAGTTTCCAGTTTCTTTAGTATCTCTCTCAAGATGGTTTTCTGAAGTATAATTTATTCAGCCAACAAGAATTAGTTTTTGATATATACCTATCACTGTGCTAGGCACTCCTGGTTTAAAAAAAAATTGAAGACATTCCCTACCGTTAAGGAATTTCCAATCTAAGCTAAAGAAGAAAAAAAAACCCTTTAGACAAAAAACTAAAGAATAAAATAATATTATTATTCAGTGCTAGCTTTTATAGTATGGTCTATAAGTACTAAAACTTTTAATGTATCCTTTTATGCCTGTGTTCTGTTTTCATTTTTACATGGTTACACTCCTAACATCTTTAAGGAGGCAGCCTGGTATATGGCTGTGTTTCAACTTTCCCCTTCTGTGATTTTGGTAGAAATGTCCCATGGTGTTCCTTGAAACACATGACAGAAAGTGACCTGCCCATGGTTACACAGCTAGTATGTTGCAGAGGCAGGTCTTCATAACTCCAAGTTCAGAATACTATCCCAATTCTTAGTATTGCCTCCAATTAAGTCAATGTGTTGTTGTTTACTTTTGCATGGTTCAGAAATGAACTTTGTAAACTAATTATATTTTTATTTCAACCTGCTATTATTAATCTTATGGACTACTGAAAGGGATTCCAACCTGTTTCTGCCATATTTGATTGCTAAATATTCCGCTTGTTACAGAACTGACCTAGAAGCTATTTGTGTCATTTTGACAAAGTTGTTTTATGTGTATACTATAGTATTGTCAGTTCTGGTTTTATTAAAATGCAAGAACTCTTGACTTTTTGTCCTTACATAACGAGAGCAAGGAGGTTTTCTGAGATGGTGGCAGATAAAAGGAAAGGTATAAAGGCACCTGGCTGACTGCTATTATGCTTTCTTTAGCATCAATATTTCATGAGTTCTTCCTAGCCTTCTTTTACACAGTAGGATATAAAACTGCTCAGCGGGTTAAAACAAAAAGAAAAAGTAAAGGAAAATATGGGAGAGACTGATACAGGATTCCAAAGGGATTGAATTGCAAAGATTAGTAACCTATAATAAATGCAGCACTTAAGCACTGGAATTATCTTTCCATGGAGTCATTTATAAGAGTACCCTATTTTAAGCAAAGTTCATTTAATGCAGTGTGTCTGCATGAGGAAACAGAGATTGTATTTTGTCCTTAATCTTTACTTGTATAGCTATTCAATGTTTTTGTTGTGTACATACATGTATAGGGGCCTTCTTCAGGTTTTTACAAGCAATGATGACATATGTACATAGGTAATTTATTGTCTGTTTCTCTGAGGCCTAAGGAGAAATATCTCAGAAAGAGGTTGCTGTGTTAGGGTAAATGAAAATGGAGAGTAGGGAGGCAAAGTACAAAGACATGAGCATATGGTTTCAGAGTTGTGACTGATCTAGTGACACATTCTCCAACATGACAAATTTTACTTCAGTAAATTTCAAGTCCTAGATTGTCAACAAACAATATTCTCTCGGTTGAGGACTGAGGGGCTGAGAATTAGTAAAGAGAAGAGAGAAGGGAAAAAAGGGAGTTTAGGAACAATAGGATAAAATTTGAAATCACCAGAGCTCCAAGTCTCAGACTCATCTTGGTGACATATGCTAACACTTCTTGCCTTCCTTTTTTCTCCTGCCTTACACTACCCTAAATGTTGCCAGATTCAATCCCACAGATTCCCTTCCCTCTAGCCATCTCCTCCCACTCAAATCACTGTTTCCTTTCTTCTAAAGATGATGAAATTCCTGTAGAGATTAACTTTTGGAAACAGATATGCTCAATAAATAAGAAAGTTTTCATTGGAACCAGATACTTAAATTCCCATTATGTCAGAACAATACCTTTTCTTGCGAAGTAGTTCTATTGTTACTAAGACAATATCTTTTCATGGCTTAGTTCTAAAGAACATGTTGATAAATCATGTGACTTTCACCATTAAGATTGTTTCACACATAACTATATTACTATTCTGCTGTTCTTTATATATTGGGATAGAGTTAATTTTGTTAATCAGCCTCCTTTCTGATATCAATTTAGTAACTTGGACCTCAGACAAAACTTGACCCATGGGAAGGGAGACCTGGATTATGAGTAGAAAGATTACTTGATATTAGCATAGAATTGCTAGAGAATTGTTTATTGGTGATTGTGTGTGTGTGTGTGTGTGTGTGTATGTGTGTGTACATACATGTATAGGGGCCTTCTTTGGGTTTTTACAAGCAATGATGACATATGTACATCGGTAAATTATTGTCTGTTTCTCTGAGGCCTAAGGAGAAATATCTCAGAAAGAGGTTGCCGTGATAGGGTAAATGAATTGTTCATTTACTAGAATATGAGTATATGTAACCCCAGTACCTGCTTTGAGCTAAATAACAGAGATAATTGAAGAATGGGTCTACAACAGAGAACAAAATGGTAGATTTAATAATTATCTGTCAGGGTAACTGGGCCTTCCAGGGCAAGTAACATTTATTAAGTCACCTCCTATGTATAAGGCACTGTGCTAAATGCTGAAGTATAACAGAAGGCCTTCTCAAAGCTCCTGGGGGCGTGAAGGGAGATTAGTGGGACTCATGGCAATATTGATTGTAGAGAACAATAGTACTTCAAACTCGGTACTACCTTTGGCTATGAGGAAGATACTAGCAGTCTAGAACTTCCTATAGCAAAAGCAGTCTCTCCTAGCAGACAGGCCCTCTGACTGAATACACCTGTTACAAATGAGGGCTTTATTTCCTTTCTGGCAATGAACAAGGTAGCAGTAGTATTCTCCATGGGTGGCACTATTCATCACCTGGCAAATGGATAATCTTTTAATACAGGACTTTTTAAAATGGGCCCCATCATATTTCTCATATGAAAGTTTTGGTTTGTATATCTTGGTTGGAAACCTATTTTTGTTCACAATTTTTCCTCGCCAAGAACCTTGTTATATTTAAAAGAAGGCTCCTCCATAAATCAAGACCATTATGGGACATTTATTATCTGTCATTTTATTTTGTTTCATATTTTATGGTATCCCAAGACAGTTGTTCTTAAAAAATGAGTGAGTTTAAAAATTAAAGAACTATCCTTTTTAAAGCCTGGGCTGAATTCCCAGACCTTGAAATTGGCATAGATATGGAATTAGGGTTAAATCAAATCAGATTTTTAACTGTTATAAAAGCTGAGTTATTTTGAAATTCAAGTGAGTAAACTAAACAGTTTAGTGTTTTCAATATTTACATGTGCATGAAAGATTGAATTGAGCTGAATAGCTGGCAAAATAGGGTTTTTGTTTATTAAGACTCTTTAAAGAATTAATATCATTTTGTCTGAAGATCAGTTGATGGAACTGGGTGTTTTTGAGCTGGAGAAGCAAAGGCTTAAGGGTAACATTATAACTGTCTTCAAGTATTTGAAGGGCTGTCATGGGGAAAGATCAGATGTGTTCTGGTTGGCCATAGAGTACAGAACTAGGGGAGAAATTTTAGGAAGCAAATTTAGGCTTGATATAGGGAAAACTTTCCTAACTGTCCAGAAATAGAATTGACTGTCTTGAGAAGTAATAGGCTGCCCTCAGTGAAGATCTTCAAAGAGAGACTTTGCAGGTATGTTGTAGAGTGGATGCCTTTTCAGGTATGTGACTGCAGTTCTTTATAACCTAAATGACATTTAGCATCTCCACTTCCAGCTGTGAAATTCTGTGATTCTAAACAATGATGTTTTTATTGACTTACAATGACAAAAAGAGTTTTGGTTTGTATTCCTGAGGAATGAGTGTTTACCTGTCATCAGATCTTTG